TTGCTAACGCTTTTTTCTTTTTTTTTTTTTTTTTTTCCTGTCTGATTCCCTTTAGCAGCAGCATTTCTCAAAGGTCTGGGGAACGCAGTCTCTTGCAGGGGCCGTTGAACTTCCGTGAAACTTTTGCCTCTCATGAGAAGTCAGTCAGTCCCAAGCGATGTATCAAATTCGATGTTACCTTTGCATTTCTTTGCTTTTCAGAGGAAAAAAAAAATCAAGATTGGTGTTACAATATACACCCCATAAACTAATGAAGTATTTGCCGCAGCTCCTTTGTGTTTGTGTCTAAAGCTTGAGGAGATGCTTAGTAGAGTTGTATCTAAAGCTTGTGCCACACTGACTTTAGCCAGTTTGCATGAGACAGTGAAACTTTTTTTTGTAGTAAATTCAACATTAGTGGTATTGTGTGAAAAATACAGCTCTTGCTGAATTTTCTACAGCTTTCACTGAGAATGGAGCACATCACACGACTGGGCATTTATCTGAATATTTGAATGTTGATTTAACACCTACAACTGCTTTTGGTTGTTCTTCAGAGCGTACGTTGATGAGATAAGCATGCTGGAGAATACTAGCCAGAGCAGGGATAATCATTACATTTTTGTTGTTTTGGGACAAGAACAAAGTGTCGCATCTACCTGATGAAGAAAGAAATTAGCATTATTCTTTCAGAGGGAGCTGAACGACTTGTGTATGTTTGGTTGTGGTGGTAACTGCATGATCAACTCTTGCACAGAGGGTCTTGGAGGTGGGAGGTCTAGTTAATCAACAGGGTGTTAAAAATGCAGGATTTGATACGGGTTATTTAAGTGTTTGTCCTTTGACTTTTCCCGGCTGCTTCGACATCCTTTTCTCATCCTTTTCTCTACATCCTTTTCTCCTTCAAATCCTGGCTTTACTGGTGCATTCCTGTTCCTCAGAGCAAGACTAAATGAACCAAGAGGTAGTGAGTAAATAAATAACCTACTTCTAAATATGGTGCTTTGTCAACAGAAAGTAGCTTAACTGTATTGTTAAGATGTGTGTTGTGTAAAATACATTGCAAAAAAGTTCATCCTTCAGGAACACGGGCTGGATCAAGCCAAGACAATGATTTAAGAGCTTAAATTAAAGGTGTTTGCAAACATGGGATTACAGCCAAGCATTGTTGTAAAGGATGTGCTTTCCTGAAGCTGTTAGGATAAATGGCCATTAATACATACACTCTGTTTTCAGCTCGAAAGAGGTAAGAAGGTACTTATGCAGCAAACAAAATGCATGTCTCCAGGCCAGATTTCTGTGCCCGAAGGGGTACTGCATTTTCCTGGAGTGTTTTTGTTTGTTGAGTGCTATGTAGGGAGGAAGTAGCGTGTCAGATATGGGGACGGGGTAAATAGGTGTTCCTCTGTGAGTAAACGATTCACTTCTTGGGGTAATTGGCATGACTTGCCCTCAGTTGCCTCCTGTCAGTTCTTCTCAGTGCAGAATTTCCAGCTGAGCTAGTTCTTCTGTCGAGGTAGTATGTTTTTCCAAACAGGAAGATGTGAATTACTTGCTGTGATTTTTGTCACAGAAATGCTGATTTAAAGACTTCCAAGGAAGTGTAAGAGCTACAATATTATTAATACCAAAGAAGCATTATCAATATCAGTGCGAGGCACTCTAGAAACACTTCTAAATACAAAGGCAGTACTGGAGTGTGTATATGGGTAAGTTTTCTGCATCTGAGTGCAGGGTTTTGAGAAATCAGTATGTGCTCTTGGAGAACAAGAGCTGCTAAGAGCTGAGCACTCTGGAAAACTTTATTTGGATGCCAGTGGAGAATTATTTGGCTTCATCTGTCTTGAAAATCTAACCCATTGTTTCTGGGAACTCTAAATTGATGAAACGACTTACTTTCTCATCTAGTATTTTGTATGGGTAGCTGTGATCTTTATCTGTGACACTATTATATTTGTCACAATTATGAAGTTATTTGTGCTGTGCTTATTTTAAATTGAAACTGTACAGACCAATTAAAATATTCAGGGTCATGAAGAGGGAAATGAGAGTAGTTGGTGGAAAAATCCCTAGATTCTAGCAAGCATTTCCTTCTGTTTCTTTAATCATTCTTTTGCTGAGAATTTTATGGAAGTCGGAAAAGATTTTTCCCAAAACGAAATGAACTGGGGGGAATCCCTGGGTCTAATGTTGGAAGAGTTTAGTATGCAGTGGCAGAGATGGAAACTATCTGACAACAAACAGCTTTTGATTCGGGTCTGTGATAGAATATTTGGAAAGTAAAATTATGTTGTTTTAAAGCTCAAAAAATTCACACCTCGAAGCTGGCAAAACCTTCAGTTTTTGGATGGCAACACAGTGTTGCCATCAGAAGAAAATTGCTGTCAGTTTAGCCAAGGTTTGTTTTGTTTTGTTTTTTGGAGGGATAGCGTGAGCAGGGCATGCTTCCACACATGGTTAAACATCTCAACACCTTTGCAAATCTGACCCTTGCTGCAGAGTCCATGGAATCGGTTCTTGCTGATGGATTCCAAATGTGGGTTGCATAAGTTTCTCCTGAGGGACACTAGCAGACTTCATGGGCTGCCAGCTCCCAGAAATATGCCCTCGGATTGCGTGCACATATTTGGACATTTTGTGCAAATGAATGATAAAATGTTCGACTGTGCTGGCCCGTCCTAGCTGTCTTGGCTTTGTCTGTGCTTTAAACCCCTGTGAGCTCAGTGCTCCTTGAAACAAGCAACTGATCAGGGAGACAACACGAGAAGTGGGCTCTGTCCTGGAGGCTTTTATGAGGAGTCTAGGGTCAGACACCCCTCAGGGTGGGCAAAGATGAATCTTTCCAACACCTTCTGCCTAACAGCCTCAATACTTGGAAGGGCTGGTAGATCTGCTGTACTAAAGATCGTTTGGTCTTGTTCACAGCCTTCCACGGCAGGGCAGCAGCATCATCTGTCTCCATCTTGAGCCACGTGTTCTTCTATCGGTTGGTGTGTGCAGATGGGTGGCTGTGTGAGGCAGAATTAAATAGCAGACCTAGCACGCTCTCCAATCTATAGCTGTCCTTCCCTCATCTGCCGTACATCAGAACTGCACCGCTTCTGCTGCCAGGGAAATCAAAGTGGTGTTTGGCTTGGCCTGCACTGTATCAGGGGTCAGCATTACTCATTCTGTCAGAGGACAAACACATCTTTCATTTTCCTCAGCAAAATATTGAAAGTGGCTACGTTCACTGCTCTGGAATAACAGAGGTTGAAGAGAGCCCTGATATTCCAGCAGAGACGTTGCAGAAGTCCATCTGCCACTACGTTGTTTTGGGACCAAACCAGGTGTCGTAAGAGTGGCTGCTCAGGGTTAAGTGCTGGGAGATTTGTACTGGCAGTCAGCATCCGAGACTCTGTTTTGTTCAGGTTTCTGTCAGAAAGGGACCACGTTTCCCTTCTCAGCTCCTTTTCCCATAGCCTGGTAATTGTGTGCCAGAAGAATTCATCTACCCTACTGTCCTCTTTCCCCAAGGCTCTCCCAGCTATGGCAGGGAGTAGGCAGGGTTGTTAAATGACTGATTGCCTTTGGTGGAGTTATTTTTAACCTGAATTGCTTCAGTTACTGAGTTTATAGCACAGACCCACGAGCACTTCTGTTGGCCAACCCCAGAGGGCTGAAGTATGGCACTGGCCTGGGAATTGGTGGTCAAGGGATAACAGGAAACTTCTTCAGCTGGCTTCGCTGCCAAAGCCAATCATTTAGCTAAATCCCAACGCTCAATACAAAGTTTACAAACATCAATAAATGGTTTGGCCTTGACTTTATAGGAATGGGGGGAGCAAGGGAAGAAGCTTCCACCAAGTGGGTTTGCCCAGGTCCGCATAACTGGATCAACCAGACTGGGGGTGGAACCCAAGTCCCCTGCATCCTGGCTTAGCCTAAAGCAGTAGGCAAGGCTAGGGAGGAGTGACCAGCCGGCACAGGACCAAGAAACGTGCAGCGTGTTTGAAAGAGAGGAGGAATATCTTTGGCCTCTCTCCACGTGGAAATAAATCATTGCAATCCTCCACAGCTCACAAGACAAAAGAAACTTTTTGCATGATCGTAATTAGCAACACATTGTACTACCACAGAGTTCTTTTGTTTGCTATTTTGCAACAGAGCAGAGCAAGCTTTTTCCTCTCCTCTGCCACCCACTGCCCCCTTTGCCCTTTTGGCTCTTACCCCCTGCACCCCAAAAAAAGTAGTGAATTGGTTTGTTGAATTGAAACTCTGAAATCCCAAACTGAGTTTCTGCCTTTCCTTGACATAAAAGTGGGGAAAAATAGGGAAGGATTTGAAAGCTTTGGCCCAGCTGAAAGATTCTCCTAGACCCCAGGGAAAACAGCCCCTAAGGTAAATCCTCTGTCTCTCTTTTGTGGCAGAAGGATGTCAGTTGACAGTGTCAGAACTTCTCTAATGTAGGTTTTTTACAGAATGTTTTCTATTACAAACAAATCTGAGTGCCAAATCAACTGCCTTTGTTGCTTCGGTACTGTTCTCTCTACAGAGGGCTGAATTTAAGGTAATGATGGGTTTACCTCGTGGGGTGGTGTTTGATGAGCAGAGCTTCAGCTTTTATAGAAAACTAGTTCATAGCCCTTACGGAGACGTATATGCTGTTGTAACTACATCTTCCTGAGTTTGCAGGGAGCCTGAAACGGTAGCTCAAAGAGCTCCAGTCAGATGCCAAGAACTACTGGCCGCTCTAGTGAGAGGAGAAGCCATGCTGAAGCCTGGCCAGTTGAAGTCTCTTGGAGAGTATGCTGGCCCTTGGATTTTCTAACTCCTCTCCTTGGTTTGTCCTTGAAAGACTGGGAGTTCCAGAGATGATCTTCTCAGTCCCCATCTCTCTGATTCCCTTAATCTACAAAGTGGTGAGGGTTTGCCCTTGGTAGCATTGATCTTTCTAACTAAACACCCAGTCCAGGCCTTGGGAACTGAGTTTAATTTCAGGGTGAAAGGAACTGTACGTACACTTGGTAATAGATCAAGGTTGTGCTTTGGGCTCAGGAGTGATTAGTTGCATGAGAATAGAAAAATGTTTTTCCTGTTTGGTTTAATTAGCATAGAGCTTACATTTCACATAGAAATTTGACAGAGGACAACAAATGTTCCTAATTGTTGGCCAGTAAAAACAAAGTAAGATGGCTTCAGCCATTGGTTTGATGTTGTATCGCCCAGGGAAGGGAGTTTGCTGTCAAACACAGCAGTCTTGGCTGAGAAAAACAAATCAGTCCAAGAATCCACAGAGCAATAACTCTTCAAAATCTGAAAATGGCATGTACCTTTCAGAGTGCGGAGCCTCCCAGAGCCCCAGAGGAAGTCCTTGCCTCTCTGTACTGGCTGCCAGATCAGGCCAGATTTGTTCAGAAATTGTTCTCAGTCATAAAGTTTGCTTGTTTAAAGGGCCTGATCCCAAACGCCTTGACTCTGGGTCTGCAGTGTGGCAGAATGGAGGTGGCCTCTGCCCATACTGGTTAGTCCTATTCTGCTGTTTGATATTATATTAACAAGATACAGCTAGGACAGGCTTTATGGAAATTATATTTTTATTTTGTTTCAACCTGAAAAAACTTGCTTGTTTGCTCCTTGGAAGAGGAGCCTTGGGAATGTTTTAAGAGACTTCTGTTGACTGGCTTTCCTGTTACCTAAACCTAACGTTGCCCCCACCCTATCTTTAATTTTACTCGAGTCATTTCAGAGCTGGGCTACTCTCCCTCGAGATGTGTGAAGTTTAGACTTTGTGTGGTGCAGCCAGATCCAAACTCACTCTGACTGTAATTGTAGAACCAGGAATTCAGGGGCTCCGAGATGAGAGAGATCTGCAGGCATATTCTAGCCAGGATATGCTGGTGCTAGTCCAGTAGAGCCTGCTGAGAAGTAATGGCTCATAAGCTTGGGTGCAGTACCCTGCTAGAGTGGCTTGCTCACACTGTGTGGGCTACTAGCTTGGGTCTCTGCTAGCTAAGGCCTCGCTTCCTTAGGCTCTGTTTTGCTCCCTAAATTTAAGAATTGGATCTCGTGTTGATGGATGTTCTGCTTGTCCAGCAGCCAAGTACGAATTACTCCTCCTTCCAACTGCAGCCTGCAAGCCAAGAGCTAGACCACATTAGCTAGGGAACCACTGTGTTTCCTGCCAGTCACTGAGTGCAGCCTGGGGCATCTCATGCCTGAGATGGATAGGGTTCAGCTGTCGAGAGGAAGAGCCCTTCCAGAAAAGCTGCTTATGAACTGGGGATGGATGGAGGGATAGAGGGTTCACAGTTTTGAAATATAGTGTCCGGGCGCTCTTCTGTTCTGTGATCCAGCCCAGCGGACTGGTGTGGGATCTGATGAGTAGCTGGGGGTGATGTGTGAGGTCAAATGACAAGAGGGAGGCTGTGGCGATGTGCCACAACCAGAGAACGTGCCTCCAGCGGGGCCCACACTCATAGGAGCCCCGCTACAAGGCACGCTCCCCAGCCGCAAACTTAACACCATCGTCCCTCCCCATTGTATGACCCAGCCTACGGGATATCCTGTTTTGGGGGGAAAAGAGTGTAAGGAGGTCTGCAGAATGAAAGTGCCTGATGGTCTGATGAATTGTAGGCATGTAAGATTCTGCCAGAGCAGGAGCACAGGCCCTCGGTCAAAGCAAATATTAAGGGATAACAATGAGAATGCGAATCTGAAAGCACCCTGATAAATAAATGTCAAAATCGAATAGTTCTGAGTTTGGTTTTGATTTTCCTGCTGGATCTACATTGTGCTGCTTGCCTAAAGAGTAACTAATGTTTATTTTTGTCCTGCAGTGTGTATTTAGGAGCAACTTCAGAATCGGGCCAGCAATTAATAACATTTTGAATGCTCTGGCACTCTGAATGGTAGCAATATAATAAGGTTCCTCTCTTTTTATGGCACAAATGGGTCCTGATGGTCTTCTCCTTTTTCTGGAAGGAGAGAAGTCTCATAATTGTATCTGTCTTCCTCCTTTTTAGGTCAGCTATGAGATGCTGGAAAAAATCCCCATCCTAAAGAGCCTTCGATACAGAGAGAAGCAGACTGGCAAGGAAGTTGCCCTCCAAGATGAACATTCGGACTTGGCAAATGCCAACACACCAGCAGTGTTAAATGAGAAGGCGAAGGCTGAAAATACAAGACCGCAGGCTGCAATGGGCTCGGCTCAAATAGGACAACATTATGTTGAAAGTGATTCTTTAAGTCCCAGATTAGAGGGATCTGGCACGATTACTACTGTGTATGTGGGGAACATACCTCCCAGCGTAAGAGTGAGCGAGCTGAAATGTGCTTTAAGGGAATTCCGTGCAACTCCTTTACGACTGAATTGGCAAGGAGCGCAGCACAGGGCTTTTCTCGATTACAAGGATAAAGCAACCGCAGAGAGTGCTGTATCCTCTTTGAAAGGCTTGAGCCTCGGGGGTAATACTTTGCGAGTTGAGCTGGCCAAGAATCAGAGAAACAAAGGGCAAGTAGAAATCAATAGTCAGAAATGAATATGAATAGAGGAAAAAAAAAATAGGCATGTTTTCATTGTTTTGTGAGAAGCCAACCTAAGTTTTCAAGGATATTAGTATCTCCTTTGATTTCTGCAGGCTAAACGACAAAGTGCGAAGCCAACTTTCCAAACAAATGAGGCATACATCTCCCAGCTGACTTGCCTGCCTCATTCCTGCAGTTGTACATGCAAAGTGTATTTGTCAAGACAGATGACAGAGGGGCCGTTTCTCTAAACAGTTATCCACAAGGTACCCACACTCTGTGTATTTGTTTTTTGTTGCCCAGGGGTTGATTTGCTGTTTGGTGTGTATGTTTGTTAGGCCTGGATCAAAAACCTGTCCCTTGGTAGCTGTCTGCAGCCACATGTAGCGAGGTGGTTATGTTCTGTCATCTAAAGGTTGTACCTGCAAATTTGTACTTGTGAGCTTAAAAGCCAGCTGCAGAAAATCTGTCTTAAGGGTTACAGTTCTGTTTACTAAAAAATGGGTTTTGCCTGTTGGGAGTTTTCAGCATATTTTTCATAAAAATGGCTGGGGGGTGAGAGATTGCCCTTTTTGTGCTCTTGAAGAACGGCTGTGGAAACACTGGCTCAGCCACTGAGTTGTGGTTACAGCTATTAACATCAGGTGGAAGAGATGGTAGCCCCTTTCTCAGCTTTGTTTCATTAATTCAGCCCTTTGTAAACCTTACATTTCTTATTTCAGTCTGGCAGAGGAAAGTGAAGATCAGTTTTCTCCTCTGCTTTTCCCCAAAACACTTCAGGTGCCTTTTTCATGGATGCAGATAATTATAAAATAGACCCTTTTCCTGATTGTCTTGTCTCTTACAATTTGGTGTGATTCCATTGCCTCCGTGAAATTACATTAATATTAATCACGGTAGTGGAAATGAAAAGCAGACAGACTACGGTCAAAACTTGTGGGTGCCTAGTCTGGTATGGAGTTGTTTGAAAAGTTGCTGGAGATAGCAACAAAGCCTGTTCCTGCTGTGCCTTCGTCACCACCGGCGTGGTCTTCCTGCACCCACAACATCAGGCGGTGATGTGGGTTAGACAGCAGCACTGGCAACGTTTCGTTGTGAAAGTGCTATCAAGTACTAGCTTGAACAGTAAGATTTGCACATACGTGAACATTCACTTAGGGTGTAAAGGAGAATGATGGTTTATTTGGTATGGCTTTTATTACTTTTTTCCTTTGGTTTCCTATTCCTGAAAAACAAGTTGAATTTTGGCTGAACCATCCTTTCTAAACAGAAGCACTTTTGCCATTAATGCTGGGCACATAGTCAAAGTAAGCATCTAAATGGATATTTTTTTAAGTATGAGTTGGAAACTTTTTTTAGCCAGAGGGTACTGTTAAGTATATTTTAAGCACCTTATTATGCCTCAAGGGTCAGACATTTCATACGGTATTAAATAAAAAGTTCTCATCGTTATCATGTATTCTGTACAGAGGGGCTCAAGGCAAGCATTGCTTCAACTTCTTGTAAGGTCAACAAAGGAAAGGTTTCTGAAAAAAAATAGTGCTGTGCTCTAAAATGCTCTCTTTTTCTCCGGCTCAAAATTATTTTCCGTATCACTCAGTGTGTATTAAAACACAAGCACTGCGGAGTCCTCTGCGTCTTGGTTCGGTAGTTGTGCACTTCAAGGGGAAGAGTCAGGGGTTATGTTACTACTTAAACATGCTCGTTACATCGTGAGCTTAGAGAGCAGAGGAAAGAAAAGCAAAAAAAATAATTATACATCACTGTCTTCCCCTTCCAAATGATGGCAAATTAAGTAACGTGATCATTTGATCTTCTTTTTGACTCTTGCAATACTGCTTGCTTTGGTGAAGATGCCCAGGTGACCTTAGCAGTTAAAAAGCGGTTATTCTGCTAATGAAAACTTGCAGCATCTCAAACTTGCCCTGTTGCGTTACAGATTGAACCAGCCTTCTCTGGTCAAATCTGTGGGAATTTCATCCTCTACCTTACTTCCTTTCTTAACATCTGTTAAGTTTCAGTGCAGATACGTTTACATGTTACGTGATAGGTAAATGTGTTGCGTTTGCTTGCTTTGCTCTCAACGCTGCGCGCAGTCAGCGGCCAGTTTTGTTTGGACAAACATGTCTGGATGGTTTTCTGTTTGCAGTTGTGGTTCTGCGGGTAACCCGTGGGGTGAGCTGTGCTAGGTCTGTATCCAGGTGGGCAGATCTCTGCAGTTCTCTTCTAGCCTCTCACTTTTCTCTGTCCTGTATTGCGAGGCCGCATTTCGCAGTACTACCTTGTTACTTTCCCAGTAGGCAATTAACAGTCCAAACCACACTATGGAGAAGACATTAACTAGACGGAGGTATGTAACTGTAGTTAGGCTCAGAGAAGAAAAATAATTACTATAAGCTTAAGCTAATGGACCATTCATTAGCGTCTTGAATGGACCGAAATAATGATGTTGATGCTATGATAATTGTTTTTCCAACTTAAGCAGTCATTTTTGATCCAGGTTATTAATAAACGGCAAGGTCTTTTGGGCCTTGCCATCTTAAAGTCATTAAAGTGTGTTTTTAATTCAAGGTAGCAGCTGCTCCAGGTCAGAGTTTGGCAGCCTGTTGCAAACCCATCTGCACCAGCAGCTTCAGCAAATCAGTAGCAACTGAAGTGCAGGCACAAGTTCATTTCTGTCATCTCTGCTTCAAGAGCAGCAACCTGCAGGGAAGGAATTAGTACAGGCAGCTGTTGAAAATAGAGCCTGAAGCTGCAGAAGGCTCACCAGGGTTCAGAGCTTCTGCAGAGGTTTCGTAGTAAGGGCTTGCATGGAGGCAAAACAGCAGTCCTCAGAAATCACCTTTGGGTTGCTATAGGATTCCCGCAGGAAAAACAAGAACTCTATTAACATTTTGGGGAAGAAAAAAAAAAAAGCAGCATGACTTGCAGCAAAACTGTTCTATAAGCTTACCTGTGAGGAGGAGGGCGCAGCTCATGCTTTCCGAAATGCGTCACGTACCAACACAGCAGGAGTTTGAGCCTGTGCGCTCTGAAGTCGATGCAATTTCTGTCTTGGACAGCAAGGGAAGGAGTGATGAGGATGGGGCCCTTACTGCTGCTTGGGAAGTTGCTCATCTTTAGCTAAAAGACATTTCAATGCAAGATGCTAAATTGCTATTTAATAAAATAATTGAAGACTGCCCAAGGCCCTCGCCTACGTGGCTTTCTGGTGTCTTTAGCTGTGTGATGTGGATTTTTTCTTGTGGGCTGACCAAGTTCCTACTTGAGGACACAGCAGTTTTTGAAGAAAAAGTGAATGGGGCAGTCTGCATCTCTTAGATCTATTGTTTCAGGCTCTCTGCATGTTCAGGAAGACATCAGTTATACATGAGTCACTTCTAACTTTTCTCTAAATCCACGAAACTCTGAAATGCAATACATTTTAGCGAATCCTTGGACTCTGATCTCATAATGAAACTCGAGGAACTGAAGCCTGTTTGTGTTTTACTTTGGCCCAGAGCAAGACTATGCAAGACATTTTACCGACAATCAAACCATAAAGTCCATGCCCTGAAGAATTTACAGTCTGAATTAACAGGCTTTAAAGATGAGAACCTTTACTCAAGCAATAATTCTTCATTTTGTACCTGTTGTAGTTGAGGCCCTGCTGTTAGCACGGAGGTTGAACTGGGCTACGTCTACGCAGATATGCCTCAGGTGGATCCTGGCCCTTACAGCCCCTCTTTCTTGCTGTGACTGAAGCACCAGTCTAGGATTTCAGAGGCCTCAATGCTTCAAGCCAGTTTCTCTGGAATGGCCTTTCTGTGACCGCTCGTGCCTGGAGCGATGGGGAGAAGGTATCTTTAAGCACTTAACCCCCAGACTCTTTCTGTAAGGACAGTGAGACGTCCTTGCTTCTTAAGACTCTCATGATAAAAACATCCACGATGACAAAGAAGTGCCTGGACGCTGCAGAAAGGTCTGAAACGCTGGTGATAGATGGGTAGCCTGCTTTTAATAGGAAATGAAGTGATCCCTAACACGGACTTGATTTCAGTTCACTTGCAGCAGCAGAGGAGCCTGCGTCTCACTGCTGTGTGATGAGAAGAAAAGTTCAGCAGTACAATGGGAAATACTTTACTGAGCCAACTTTGTTCAGAAGTAATTAAAAATGAGGTCTTTCTATTCTCTGCGCAGCCTGATGTCCTCGCTTGTCATGTGGTTCAGTGCATTCTTTCCAGCTCCTTTCATGGCACAAACAAGTTAGGATGTTGTTATTGCACGCCCCTCTTTTTGAGGGTTCGATGGGGAAAGATGCTGAACAGCTCCGGAGGCTGGTCGGTGTGAGCAAACCCAGCTCCGCTCTCGTGGCGGCTGGGGGGGTGTGGGATCCAGCAGCGACCACCCTAGGTGTTAACATCACGGACATGAGCTCCGCTCCTCTTCCTATCCTCGCTTGCGGGAGAGATGCGAAGGGAAAACGGTATCGGATGAATGGAGCCTCTACCAGATCCACTAGGCTCGAGAACATGGTCACTTTGGAGGGGGTTTTCTTTTGTTGAATGATATTAGTCACAGCGTGGTGTGTGGCACAGAGCAGTGAGGCAACGCTGTAATCTGCTAACAATAAAAGCGAGGTGGCTAACTGCCACTCAGTGCTGAAAACTATACAATCATTAGGGTTTTCCTTCAGACAGCTATGTCCATGCATTTCCTGGAACAAGGACAAGGCCACACAGCTTCAATCCACCGAAGACAACAGCGAGTAAACAAGCCGTGTTGCTGTGTAGTCTTCTCTGAGTGACAAGAGTCAGAGATCATTTGTTTCCATGGAGAGAAAAAGGAGGAAAAAAAAGAAAAATCTCGCCATCAGGGTGGGAAAAGAGTAAAGCCCTAGCCTGGGTCCCACAGCCAGATCCCCATCCAGCCCTCCAGCATCTTCATGCGCACCAGTCCCTGGTCCCCTCCCAGAAAGCAGTCTTTAAGGACAGAGGCTTTAGCCCATTATCTTTGGAGACCAATAAAATATCTTGGAAAAGGGATGGTTAAATACATGTCTTTTTATATATATATTTCATCGTCTTCTACTGCTCCGAAGGGAGAAAGAAATGGTTTTTAGGGGAATGTTTCCATTGAAAAATCTAGCACTGGGGCTGCGTTTTTTCTCCGCAACTGCAGCAAGGGGTGAGGAGGGGGAGGAAAAGCGTGTGCTGGGATTTCTCTCATTCCGGTTCCTCAGAAGGAACAGCTCCATGCAGCAGTTCTGGCTCTGGAGGAAACATCTGTGGCTGTGGCCATGTTACTCAGGCAAACATACCCCTCTGTGAGGTAGGCTGTTGTGTACGAATGCTTTTATTTCCTCGTTGCCATCTATTAAAGATTATCTCCCTACAAGAAAAGTGCACCATTTCCCATGTTTTCATGTGTAATGTCCGTGATGTCTGCTATAAACATCATGAAACGTTTCCCGGCCCCTACACTGACATAGGTATAAGAGTCACTGCTTTTCATCTTTCAAAGCACTGCAGAAATGTTTAGGGTCGTGTATCCTGCCATTGTTCTGGGCTGGGCATCCCACTGAAGTCACTGGGAGAAATGAGTTCAGGATACGGACCTATCTAGTCAATCTTTACGGTGGCCCCAGTAACATCCACATTCTACAGATGGGAAAATGAGGAAGGCAGAGATGGCTCCTGATAGACTACATCCACCTGGTAATTCCTACCACTTTGGAAAACAACTGCAGAGAACAGACTAGAAACTCATCAAAAGCTCTCAAGAAAGAAACAAAACCCAGACCCCATAGCGTGGTAGCTGTTGGACTTTTCCATGTGACGGGTACCTGATGTCCCAGAAGGGCATCTTGTTGCTTCCCAACGGAGAGCTGCAGCATCGTGGTCGCTCTGCCTCCACGCGCCGGCCGGAGCCGCCGGCCAGCCCTGCTGTGGCTGGGAAGCATACGATCCTGCGGGTCCTCCGGCTCCGCTTGAGCCGTCCCGTCAAGGCACCCCACACAAGCCTCTCTCCAGTCCAGGGACAAACCGCAGCTCTCCTGCCTTGTGAGACAAGACATGAGATAGGAACTGAGATACTTCTCCCAAAACGTGCCTCCTCCAGAGGTCTAGCAGGTCCACCCATCCCATGCAGGAACACAGGGACCAGGGCGATTTTCTTTCTTTAAGGAACAAGGCAAACACACAGGACTGTTAGACGGGAGGAAAAAAAAGGGCAGGGAAAGAAGGGAAACATTCATGAAATGCTGCAAAAGCTTCTACATTTCTAGGCGTTAGTGTATCCATTGCTGCCACTCCTTAGTATTTTTGAGTGAATAATTGTTCAGACAAGAGTAATACTTACATTTTTCCAGAGGGATATCGTGTTTTCAGAGTGTTTCCAGGCACCCGCACTGCTCAGACTCCGAAGCGTGGCGTTTCCATCTCTCTGAAGGAGGCGATTACTCGGGTAGCCGGTCTGCAGCGGCTTTTCTTTACCACCGCAGAGGAACACAATTGCTGTAGCAAGTTCTGCTCCAAGTGAACTCCTGGTACTGTAAGTCCCTGCAAAACTTTCCAGGCCCTGTCATCTTGCTTTCCCAGGTGTGTTTGCTTATTTTTTCAGTAATTAGCCTGAAGCTGAGCTGAGCCGCAGAACTGCACTTTCTGTACCGTTCTGGGTCTTTCAACTCCTGCTGCTTTAAATAAAGAAACGCCTATGTTCAGGCCCGTGTATTTACACCAGTGTAAGTAAAGTGGCACAGCCAGTGGCCCCGTGTCTCTTTCCATAATTAAGCAGAGATGGTTTGATCTCTAGGATTGTCATTTTTCTCTCTGATGCTTGCACCAGGGGCCTGCAGGCTTCTTGGAATCGCTCAGAGGACCTGCGAGAAGTGTCCAAGAGGAGGAGGTTCACATTCACTACGCAGCGACCCACCTCAGTGAATTTTTCTGAAGGATCTGCGTCTCCCTTGCAAATGTTGAGCTCATTTTAAGATTGGGTTTAAAACGTTGATCAGAAGTTTGATGGATCAGAGCAACCTGTGGTAATGGGAATTGGTCTCAGAGAGCTTTTTATAAGTCTGTGCAAAGAGACAGATCTCCAACCCAGAAGCTCAACAACAATAAGGTTTATTCCTTCTGTTGTCTTTCCTTGATAATACTCTGATTTTAGTTTCTTACTGGGCAAGATGAACACTGGCAATGAAAGTTACTTAAAAAAACAGCTGAGCTGCATGCCTTTCCTCACTTGTTGAGCCAATCTGATAATTGTTTCTATGAATAGCATCAGCTCACGACTGCAGGGCTGCTGCTAGCGCTCAGGGCATCTCCTGCTCCTCAGGGGGTCTCCTTTAGCCAAACACACGCTCACCTGCATCAGGTATTTTGTTCCTGAGGATGACTCCCACTGGCAAAGATTCCTTGGCAGGGATGTGCAACTGCAAAGCCCAGGGGAGCACCCCCAGCATTGTCTTTTCCTGCAGAGACTGGTGTCAGGCAGCAGTTATGCTTGTAAATATGCACGGAAAGGGAACAAATGTTCAGGTGCGGTCTTCCGAAAGCATTTCAGTGACATAGAAATCAAAGTCCCCTTTTCAAATGACAGGAACCGTGGCTCGGATCTCCTGAGGTACATAGCTCCCAAACTTCTTGGTTTTGAGGGAGAAATCGGGCACCCAATTATTCTGGTGGATCTGAGCCTTTACCTGCTAAGGAGTTGGTACCAAACTCAGAACCTGGCCTTCCAAATACCCGTTTAGGATTCAAGGCGTCTGTTCCCACCAGCCAAGTCTCCAAGGTACCCGATTTTCTGCTAGTCTGGGTAACCAACCCCATCTGAGAGCACCGCGCGCTGGGTGTCTGTATTCACGGGCTGCGTTATGCTATCCCATGCCAAGTGTTCCCACCTGGGCGCGGAACAGGCCCGATCCAGGAGCGTCCCACAAACGCGTTTCGCCCGGCGTGTTCGATCACCGATTTTGCCATGCTGAATCTGAAGACGGGATAAAGGGATGTTCACCTTCAGAGCGCCGGATGCCAGAAGGGGAGAAGAAAAATAAATAAAACACAAGGAAGCAAACCTTTAACACCCACCCCGTGGAGAAAAGGTCAGAAACCCTCCGGCCCGGCCCGGTTTTAAGGCCAATTTGGGGAAAATCGCGGCTGGGCGGGGAGCAGGGGCGAGGCGCGGGTGGTGCCGG